AGAAAGGCTAAGGAAGAGGCTGAAAGAAAGGCTAAAGAGGAAAATGACCGTAAAATAAAACTAGAAGCTGTTCAAAAAGCCAAAAAAGAGGCTGAAGCTAAAAGGGTTAAAGAGGAAGCTGAAAGAAAGGCTAAGAAAGAGGCTGAAGCTAAAAGAGCTGAAGAAGAGGCTGACCGTAAGGCTAAAGAGAAATCAGATCTTAGGATTAAGAAAGAAGAAGAGTCTAAAAGAGCTAAGGAAGAGGCTGATATTAAGGCTAAGGAAGAGAAAGAACAAAAGGCTAAAGAGGAAGCTGAAGCTAAGAGAATTGAAGAAGAAGCTGAAGCTGAAAGAGCCAGGGAGGAAGCTGAAAGAAAAGCCAAGGAAGAAGAAGCCAAGCAGATAGAAGAAAAAAAGAGCAATGATAGTTTAGCAGAAAATGCACTATCTCTGTCTAAAAATAATGTTTCATCTAAATTTTTTAAAATGTTCGGACGTCTTAACCGTATTGTAGGCTGCTTATTCAGAATAATTAAGATGGCTTTCATCATTACTTTCTTTACTCTACTAATATTTACAGCGATTATATACATCCTAAGAGTACTTCATCTGAAAAGAACAAAGATCAACGAATACAAAGACTATTTGGTGGACAGAATCTACAAAAAGAGCAAAAATGTTCTGCCAATTGACACGATCAAAGAGCTAAGAGCCCAGCACCCTATTCTCAGCAATCTGGAGTGGAAGATACTATGTAAAAAGATTTTATTAGACGGGAACATTCGGTTGACAAAAGTATTTAGAGGATTTAAAGAGGAGCCTGCTTGGATTTGGGTTGGCGATGATTAAAGTGTATTTGTTTTCTTTGAGGTTTTTGTTTTTGTGATCTCTCTGAGGAGCCACGTGCCCAGAGTCTCTCTCTTCTTTATTTCCGTGCTTTCTTTCTCTGGCGCTTTCATGAACTTCAGCTGTCTTAAGTTGTTGCTTATGTTCATTCGTTCTAAATTTTTTTGGTGTTTGAATATAAAAGAAAGAATGTACAAGAGACAGTGAGAATCTCGTAGATACTACAATGTTTTAAAATCTGTGCTATGCCTATGCATCTGAACTGTTCTATCCAAAAACAGCACAAGAACATATTAATGCTTCATAGATCATGTAGATCTCACTAGAACAGAAAAGTCTGTAGATTTCTAGAAAAACTAACCATTTATGGTGATTTCACCTCTAAGTAACTAAAATAAATTAAATTTTTTTTAAGAGATATAATATGGACATGAAGAGCAGTACAAATGACAAAAATTTAGACCCTAGAGAAACAGAAGATTGTTCCCAGAAGTGTGAAGAGAATTCTAAAGATGTGGAGATTGTTTATAAGAGCGAAAGTATATTTATCTCTGTATCAGAGCTTGATATGTCGTCTGCAAGCAAAAAAGAAAAGAAAGAAGGGGAAGTGGAAAACCTTTTCAAAACCAGTGCACCTATTGGAAGCGAAGGTATAGCGCATCCAGAAGCCAAGAGCTTTAGTCCAGTATTTAGCAGCCCTATTCCAGACGCCAACAAGGTCTTTGGGCAAAGCAAAACAGATCTAGCAGATACTAACCCTGATACATCAGCGCAGTTTAAAGAACTCTTTGAGACATGTTCTGGCAATTCATTTACAGCTAGTGCAGATGGTGGATCTGTTTCAGCATCTAAGAATACTAGTGATAGCATTCTAAAAGATGCTCCTAGCAGCTCAGCAGAAAATAAAGCAAAGGCTGTGGATAATGTTATAGACAGTGAAAAACCACAAGAAGAAGAGTTGAATAAAAATCCATATGAATTCTCTGTTGATTATTTTCGATACGATTTACACCAGAGGGAAGTGCAATTTCAGGGCACATTGAACAATCTACGTAATAGCGTCAGCAGATATCAAAAAGCAGTAAACAGATGTAACGCATTGGAACAGATAGCTCAACATGTCATAAATCGCTCATTGGATGGAGTTCAAGCATTGCAAGGACGAGAACACCAACTTGGCATTAAAGCAGATAAAAGAGTAAAGGCAGAAAGCGACAAAGTTTTGAAACTGCAAGATGAAATAGAACAGTTGAGGAAAAAAGAAGAGATGGATAAGAAAAAACTAGAGGATTGCAATCTATGCTATAGCAGAGCCCTAGACCAGAACAAACTATTGGAGTCTACGATGGAATTAATGCAGGACCAGCTGGATATCCTCACGATCTCCCATCAAAAGCTACAGCTTAGATCGAAAGAAAACGAACAGACAATTTCAGACTTAAGCAACTACAGTATATCTCTTAAGCACAAACTGGAGTGTTCTGAGATCAGATCTAATATGGTTGAAGAAGTCATTAACCATCTAAAAAGAATTTTATCTGTGGGAAAAGATACATTTAACACCACAGAGACTAGCTCACCATCATTTACTACTACAGTGAGCTCTTCAGCAATGCACAGAAGAGACGCTTTGGCAAAAGAGGAAGAAAACCTTGCTGATGCTTTTCGAATATTCAAAAAAGCCTAGGAAACACTGAACATATCCATGCGCCTGCTCCCAAGCCACATCCAAAAGAAAAGAGTAGTATGTTTGGGCCAATCTTAGCCCTAAGTCTACAGCTTTCCAGGAAAAATAAAACTCTCATTTTATTTCTTATACAAAAGAAGGATTATCAAGGGAAAGAACATCGCTAGAATGATAAAGATTCTTGCTACTTTCACAGGATATATTCAGTACTAAAAACTCAAGAGTTGAAGAAATAAATAATTTTATTTGCAGTACGGATTTATTTACAGGCAGTATACACTATTTTTATTCTATCGGTCTACAATCTTAAAATTTAACAGAGAGATACCATTGTGTTTATTGATTGTCCAGAGACTGCGTGCATGTTGCAATGCTGTCTGCGCTTCCTTCTTTATTTTTCAAGCCTTCGTAGGCATCCCATCCGTACTCCACCACTCCGTGGTTCTTAGCCCACTTGAACCCGTCAAATATAAAGAGTTCTCTTTTTATTGCATTTGGTGATTCCGGTGCTGGATTTCCTTTGTGCGGTATTTTCTTTATTGCCTCATTGTAGGGAATGTCGTCTGCGTTCATTCTTTGGATGTACTCTTTGCTTATAAGATGGTTTGCTATGTTCACCAACTTTTTTCCTTCTTTGTTCACCAGCGGCTGTTTACTGCTGTCCTCGCATGTGTACTCAGTCACTTCTATCTTGTCCCCATGCAGCTCAAAGGCGCCCATTTTCTTATTCGGTGCCTCTGGGATGCCAGCACTCACCACCTCCAGTGAGTACTTCTTTGCATACCCTACCATCTCAGGATCAGCAATGCGAACCAGCACATTGTCCACAGAGATGACGTTGAAGTACTTAACCTCTGCCAGCTTGGACACGATTGAAGAATTATGCGGCGTGACAGCAGTCTTCGTAACTGAGACATACTCGCTTGATTTAAGAGTTTTAAATACAGATCCATTGCCATTGGGCACTTTAATTGTTGCACCCTGTTCATTTACAAGGGGCTCTCTTGTCTTCAGGTCCAGTGCATCTATATCCTGCTGCGTGATCAAGAATACCTCCATGTCAAAAAGAGTAAGAACATCTGTCTGCAAATGCTCTATTGTCTGGCTGATTGTTTCATTCGAGACCATTATAACCCAAGGTGCTCCCATGGCGAATATCTTCTTGGCTTGTCTCTGAAAAAGAGAGAGTTTGGGGGTATTTTCTGTTGGAAGGACAAAAGTCCCCTTGGGCTTGCTGTACCCCAGTCTGGAGCCGCTTCCTCCTGCAAGGGTAAGAACTGCTACTTTTTTTTCTTCCACCATTTCACTGCCTATGTCTCCCAGCTGCTTTCTCTCTGGGTCGTCTTTTAGTAGTAAATGCATTTTTTAGCAAACATTCGCAAATATATAGCTGAAGTACGGGCTTAAAACAGAAACATTGTTCAGTTTTAGAGAGCGCGCTATCTGATCAGTGCGAAACAGGAGACAGTAGCCAAAGCTCGTGCGTTTGAAGTTGGCACTGTTTGGCGCAGTGATTTTTATTTTTAATTGGGTGGTTTCTAGCACTGTGTTTAGCTCCATCTGTGTGTCTGCTGCATTTACACGAATAGTTCAAAGCATCTTGTGTTCTATCTATCTACAGCAGTCGGAGCTACCCAATAGAGTAAATACTCTTTCTGGCACTATCTCTACAAGAAAAGAAAAGAGAATATGCTCCCATTAAGAGCCATTGGAGAGTCTAGAAGAAGAGACACATAGTACTCTAGGCTATCCAGTGCAATGGTTATTGTGAGTGTGAGTTGCTAGTGAGCTAACAACAGAAGGACAGAGGGTAGTAAATAGTGTTCTCACAGCGGGCTGTGGCAGCATTCTAATAAGCCCATTAATAGAATAGTTGGCATGGAGCGCCCAGACTTTCCAATAAACAATATGTCTTCTAATGGACGCACTGCCAATTGGAATGCTTCTAGGCTGTGTGCTCTACTTTTCTATCTTCTTTTGGCTTCCTTTTCTCACTTGGGCCCGTCCATTAATTATTACGCATTTGGAAATCCTGTGATTTTATTTGCTATCCAATATTGAGTGCATTTACCCAATTGAGCTAGTAAATAATTCCTTTTATTTTCAAGATATGCAATGGGAATGAAAGCAAAAGAGTCCTCCAGCATGAAGAATCTTATCATCCACAGCGCTCTTCTCGAACTGTACTACAAACAAAGGAGACACATTTCTCTGAACTCTCTTCTCTGCAAAATTGGCGTCCTGCAGAAATTTACGCTTGTGGAGGTAATATCTGCGAAAATATACAGCAACATGGTAATCAGGTTCCTGCCGCAGTACAACTCACTTGAGATCTTTCTCACAATGTGCATCATCTTCAGGAAGTACTGGAACGACTTTTCTCTGAAAAACATGCAGGAGGTTGACAGGAGCATTTTAAACATTAAAAAGCTGAACAGAATAGAAACAGAAATACTGAAAACCATTCAATACACGATAAGCATAACAAAAGACCAAATACAGAGAGAGATAGAAATAGAGAAGAATGTAGACAAAACGTACAAAGAAGCAATGTCTGTAATAAAGTGCATAGCAATGCAGTAGAATGCCATTAAATAGACAGTACAAGAAGTATTGTGCAGTATTCTGAATAGAGAAGCTAGGCAGCAGGTGCTACTGCAATAGAAATAGCAGACAGTGCACAAATGCACAATAAATACATAAATAAGTACTTAGCTCTCTTTATTAATTCTTGCCGCGCTTCCTAAAGAAAGAGTGAGACCAAACCAGTAAGATAAATGCCCGAGAATATCCTGCAAATATAAAAGTTTTTATTAATCAGTTATTTAAACAAATGTGGTAGATAATCTAAACTCAGCGCCCTGGAGGCAGCATACTCTCATTTACTGGCTGCTGTAATTCCCTCTTTGCGCAGGTCTTTGCTTGCCAGTGAGCTGTGTGTGGTCTGCGCTGTGAGAGGTGCTTCCGGTATTTCTCTTGCATTCCTTCCCCACAGCTTGCCGTCTATAAATCCGTACTTTAAGATGATAAGTCCTATAGCTGCAAGAGAGAGCAGTGCGCATCCGTTGAAGATCCTCTGGACGCCTTCGTACGTATCTATCTTAAGGAAATGCCCAGCAATTACACCAGCAACTGTGCCCAGACACACAAATGTTCCAGCGTATATCATTTGGCTCGTTGATTTGAGGTTACTTGGCACGAGAAGAACTGCCAACTGCACTCCCGAGAGATGGGTGAGCCCAAAGTTCACGCCCTTTAGAAACTCAATTGCACAGCATTTCTCAAATCTGTAGGGATCTGTCTCTGTGATAAAGGTGTAGAGGAAGAATCTCAGGCCCTGCGCCATCTGCGAGAACAAAAAAGACCAGTACAACCCAAACACTCCGAGCAGCCACTCCGAGGAGAAGAAAATCATGATCTCCAGGATAATCCCAAAGGTGCTGCACGTAGACATGGGATTTGCGTAGAACACATCCAGCGCCCATTGCAGATACGTTGGCAGAGACGAGGGAGGCTTGAAGTCGTTGAAGTTAAGGATGTTTTTGTAGTAGCTGCTTAGATACATGCTCATCACACCGCGAGTTACTCCGTTCATGAGGATAATCAGCAGGAAGAACATGTACGCTGGGTTTTTAAGGACCTTCGTAAACTGCGGAGGGTTTCTACTCGATGACGATGTGACTCTTCGGACTCTGTCCCCAGGCGCGAGGAGATACACCAGGCCGCCTGCTATAACCGCACATATTATGTACAGAAGGGACAGATTGTTGTAGTTCCCTACTTTGCTGTCTTTTGTTCCCCTTGTGAAAACCAGTGACTCAACGACATAATTTATCATGCAGTATGTAAGAGTTCCGAACATTCTCTGTCTTCCGTAGAGAGAGGCGGGTGCCTCCAGGACTTTCTGCAGATAGTCCAGCACGAGTCTGTCGAGCAGAGGAAGCGTGGAGAGGATGAGCATCGAGTAGAGAATGAAGACAACAGAGCAGAAAATGGAGGGAATGGGGAGCAGCAGGAACTGGAAAAGAACAGAGGAAGAGAGCAGACAAAGTATCAAAATGAGCTTGGGCCTTTGCAGCTTGTCTGCTAGATACGCAATTCCCATATTGCTCACAAAAGTGCTCAAAAGCATGACAATGAGAGTAATTGTTTGCTGTCCGTCCTTTATTCCTCTTGATGTTAAGAAAGTCTGCCGAAGATTGTAGAACAGAAAGTACTCTACGTTCACTGCCACATAGAGCAGCTTTGGCGTTAGAAAGAGCATTGAGTTGAGTTGCTTGTACACCATCAGCTGTAATTTAATAAAAATTGTATTTGTAGTGCAATTCTTTATTAATGGTGATAATGAAAGAGAATATCCAAATTAAAAAACAATAAAGCTTAAATTGCTATTCTAATGAAGGAGAGCACGCACGAGCAGCTACAATTAACTATGTCCTATATTAATTGCACACTGAGGAATAATTAAAAAATTCAAATTTCAAGTGCCCTCTTTCCTACAGAGAATCTTCGAATCAGAAGAGATGAAGAGTCTTTCTTTAAAATCACCTGGATCTACTGGAGCTAGAAGCATAAGA